TGTGCCCCAGAGACCAGTGTGTACCCTAGACCAGTGTGTGCCCCAGAGACCAGTGTGTTCCACAGAGACCAGTGTGCACCCTAGACCAGTGTGCGCCCCAGAGGCCAGTGTGTGCCCGAGAGGCCAGTGTGTATCCCAGAGACCAGTGTGTGCCCCAGAAACCAGTGTGTGCCCCAGAGACCAGTGTGTACCCTAGACCAGTGTGTGCCCCAGGGACCAGTGTACCCCTGTACTGAACGTGCATTGATGGTGCTGAATCATTGCAATGTGTTGGTGAAGGGTTATGGTTTGTGGAGGAGACCAGCTGTGGGACATGTCCACGCCCTATCTGCTGATCTTACCTGGACTTGTACACCCAGCCAGTTGAAAGCCTGAAAGCCGGGTTCCGTTCTGATGATTAAGATACCCAGAACGAATTGCAGGCCCAGTCCCACAAACAGAGTTCGACCAGATACCTGAGCAGCAGGAAGTGAGAATTAGTGATGGCGAGACATGGAGCTCCAATTATATTCCACAGTCTTCAATACAACACACTCACAGCACATCAGGGGGATCACACTGCAGCTGAGCCTGTGTGTTTACAGCCAACTGCTCAGTGTTCATGTTAGTGACATTCCTTACCAACCTGATCATGTAATCAGACAATATCACAGCACAGGAAAACCACATGGACCATCATTTCAGTGCCAGCTCTTTGAAGAGTTTTGTAATTTGATCTAATCTTTTCCCAGAGCCTTGCAAGTGTTCCTGTACATTTATTAACCAATTCCCTCTTCAGAGCTATTAGTAAATTTGAATCATAGCATCCCTACAGTATGGAAAGAGGCCATTCAGCCCATTGAGTCCACACTGGCCCTCCAAGAAGCATCCCACCCAGACCCCTATCCCTGCATTCCCCATGGATAACCCTGAACACTATGGGCAATTTAGCATGGCCAATTTGCTAACCTGCACATCTTTGGACTGTAGGAGGAAACCGGAGGAAACCTACACAGACACAGGGAGAATGTGCAAACTCCACACAGACAGTTGCCCGAGGGTGGAATCAAACCCAGGTCCCTGGCACCGTGAGGCAGCAGTGCTAACCACTGAGCCACCTCGCTGCCTGAATTTGTTTCCATCACCTCTTCTGGCAGTAATTTCCAGACCTTTATAAACCCCAGTTTAACAATTTTTTTAATCAACCCTCACCCAGTCCTCCCCCAGCCCACTTTCAAGTTACTTTCGTCAATGAACTTAAATCTATTTTAGCTTTAGCACCCTCCTGCTGGTGGAAACAGATATTAATTCCCTCCATCAAATCTCTGCATCATTTGATCACTTCTATTACATTTATACTTTGTCTCTGTGTGTGTCTTCTCAGACAGCACCTTCCAAACCCACGACCACTTCCATCTAGAAGGACAAGAGCAACACCTCCTTCTAGTTCCCCTCCAAGCCACTCACCATCCTGACTTGGAAATATGTCGCCGTTCCTTCACTGTTACTGGATCAAAATCCTGGAATTCCCTCCCTAAGGACATTGTGGATCTACCTACAGCGGTTCAAGAAGGCAGCCCACTACCACCTTCTCAAGGGCAACTAAGAATGGGATATAAATACTGGCCCAGCCAGCAATGCCTACATCCCACGAGTGTGTAAAAAGCTGACTGGCTGATGTGTCTGAGGTGTAGGAGTGCAGAGTTAGTGTGCTGGGTTTGGTTCTCATTGTCAGCCCAACATCACACTGGCAAACTGTGAATGTGAAATGCAGAGCTGGATGTGGGGACACCAACATTTGTTGCACCTCCTGAATTGTCCTTGAACTGAGTGGGTCACTCGGTTAAGATTCAACCACATTGTTCGGAGTTAGATGTCTCCTTCCCACCCTCATCTCCCTCCAATCCGTCCCTCCATCTCCCTCCTCATCTTCCCTCATCACTTTCCCCACATCTCTTCCCTACCTCCATCTTTTCCCCACCTCCATCTCCTCTTGCACCATCTCCTCCCTTCCTCCATCTCCTCACTCACCTCCACTTCCTCTGTCTATCTCCCTTCCCATCTCCACCTTTACTTTCATCTCCTCCCCCACCATCCACTCCCCTCTTCCCCAGCTCCATCTACCCCCCCCATCTCCTCCCCAGCTCCATCTCCCATCCTCCATCT